ATATTTCATTTTCCATATTTCATTTTCCATATTTCATTTTCCATATTCCTGTATCAAATTCCTCGCTTGCACACAGTTCCGGGGGGATTTGGTGTCCCGGGCTGGTGTCGGGGCAGTTCTGTGTGCTGGAGGCTGCTGTGCCGCCGGGTTCCAGGGCAAGCCGAGGATGAGCAGGGTGAGCCGGGACTGTGGCCTGTGCATGGACTCAATCCTGGAATCACCAAGGCTGGAAAAAACCTCCAGGGTCATGGAGTCCARCTGTCAGCCAAGCACTGCCACGGCCACCACCAACCCATATCCCCAAGTGCCACATCCACACGTGTTTTGAATCCCCCCAGCGATCGTGACTCCCCCATGACCTGTGCCAGGGCTGGACAAACATTTTGGAGAAGAAATTTTCGTCAATAGCCCACCTAAACGCCCCCCCGCAATAACTTGAGGCTGTTCCTTCTCGTCCTGTCACTCGTTAGCCGGGAGAACAGCCCGACCTCGCCCYGGCTCCAGCCTCTTCCCAGGGATTTTTTCCCTGAAGCCGGGAGGGTGCAGCGTGTCCCGGCTGCAGCCCCGAGGATGCTCCCGCTGCCCTCCCCAGCGCAGGGGAGAACTCGGCGACCTTCCAGGTCTTTTCCAACCGAAACTGTTCCACGATTCTCCGAATCCCGGCCTGCCGGGAGAGCCCTAATGGGGCTCATGTGATGAGCTCCGCTCTCTCCAGAGCACTCAGCGTTTCCCCGGTGCCGCGCCTCGCTCGGACAAAGCTCCCAAAGACAAACACCCTTAATTACCCCCTCAGCGTGTAAGTGCCGCTTTCGGCTTTAAAATGTTTTGCTGTGCCGTCGGGTGTCCTTGGCGTGGGTGTCGCACATCAATCAGGGGTTGAGCACACGGCATTGCCGATCCGGGGCAGTCCTGTTAGGGTGGCAGCTGCTCCCTCCCCGCTCCCCTCGATTGTTTGTGCACACAAATTAACGCCGGCATCTCCCGGCCCTTGAGCGGGATGTGCTCCGTGATGTGGAAGGGAGCGGGAGGGATCACACCGAGCTCCTCTCCGGGGSTGACGCGGGTGAGCACCCGAGGCCAGGCTGGGGTGAGGCGGGACGAGGGGGGAGAAGGGTTACAGTGGGAGGATGTTCCAGATCTTTCTGCTGTTCTGAGAATGGGAAGAGCAGCCCTCGCTTCTGCGAGATCCAGACGGTGTTTTTTTTTTTTTGTAGAAAAAACAGCACCAGAGCCCTCAGCAGCCAGGGCAGCACGGAGGAGCCGCTGTGTCCTGGTACAGCAGGGCTGGGGCTGCCAGAGCAGGGAGGGCAACAGCCACGGTCACCCCGGAGAAGCAGGGCCATTGTCCCACTGTGCCTTTGTCCCCCTGCAGAGCATCTCCCGCCCGGGTACCGGGTACAACAGCCCATGGAAAACCAGCTCCAGCTCAAACCACCGACAGTACTCGGCAGTGAAATCCCTGCAGCCGCAGAGAGGGGCCCAGGAGAGCCCCTCCGCTGTTCGGGCTGCCAGGCAGGCACGGCCGGCTGGGGACTGTGCCTGGCTCCCTGCAGACAGATTTTCCCCATATCCTACATCCCGGACACGGCAGCAGCCTCCAGCCCCCACGGCCCTGGGCCATAACCGCGGCATCCTCCCCTCTCCAGGCTGCATCTCCTGCGTGCTGGAGGCGCTGAGCAGCTGCTCCGGAGGCCACAGCTCCTCCATCTGCTGCTCCCCTGAGCCACAGGGGCTGTGAGCGCCCAGGGGTACGGATAAAACTCCTCTGGACAACCGAGTGCTTCAGGGCAGGGCTGAGCCGGGGAAGCCTGGCTGGATGTTTGAGTGGATCCTGCTTTCCCTTGAAGCCCCAGCTGCCCTTTCCCCCTGGCAGGGATGGCAGAAGGGCAGATCTTGCTCCTCTCTGCCGTGTCCGTGTGATGTTTGCAGGGACAGCTCGGGCAGGGTGTGTGCAGYCCCTCCGTGCCCTGACCCGGCTGGGCTCGGTGCCTGTGAGCTGCGGCTGGGGGGAAAAGCCACTTCGCCTGTTGCCATTTGTTAAAGAAAAGGAGCTGCAGGTGTTCACCCCGCTGGACAGACACACAGACACACAGACATACAGACACAGAGCCCGCAGCTGGCTCCACAGCCCGGCGGGGCTTCACCCTCCCTGGCTCAGCCGCCCTGAGCCGCATCTTTCTGCTAAAGCCGAGCACAGGTCGCACCCAGAGCCCTCAGGACAGCAGATATCAGCCCTGGAACCCCGCTCTGCAGGGTCGTGCCCCGCTCGGGCCAAGAGAAGCGGCGCTGGAGCCCCCGCCGGGCCGGGGGAAATGGGGCTGGGGGCGGCCCCGGGGAGGGGAACCCGCGGCTGGCAGGGCCGGGGGCGGGCGGGAGGGGCTGTACAAGGCTGGCAGGCATTGGGCCAGGGGCAATTGGGGCTGGAGAGCTCCTCCAATAGCTCCGCTCTTTGCTGGAGCGCGGCGCTGCAGGGCAGGGAGGTGGGCACGTGGAGAGGGTGCGCGACCTGCGGCGGAAGGTCCTGCAACTCCTGCATCTCCCTCTGCAACTTCTGCACCTCCATCTGCACCTCCTCCATCTCCCTCTGCAGCTCTTGCATCTCTTTCTGCACCTCCG